TGCACACCTGAGTATCTGAGTATCACACCTGAGTATCTGATTATCTACACACCTGAGTATCTACACACCTGGGTATCTACACACCTGAGTATCTACACACACACACCTGAGTAGTATCTACACACCTGGGTATCTACACACCTGAGTATCTACACACCTGGGTATCTACACACCTGGTATCTACACACCTGGGTATCTACACACCTGGGTATCTACACACCTGGGTATCTACACACCTACACACCTGAGTATCTACACACCTAGTATCTACACACATCTACACACCTGGGTATCTACACACCTGGGTATCTACACACCTGGGTATCTACACACCTGAGTATCTACACACCTGAGTATCTCCACACCTGAGTATCTCCACACCTGAGTATCTACACACCTGAGTATCTACACACCTGGGTATCTACACACCTGAGTATCTACACACCTGAGTATCTACACACCTGAGTATCTACACACACCTGAGTATCTACACACAAGACTAACACCTGAGTATCTACACACCTGGGTATCTACACACACCTGAGTATCTACACACCTGAGTATCTACACACCTGAGTATCTACACACCTGAGTATCTACACACATGAGTATCTACACACCTGAGTATCTACACACCTGAGTATCTACACACCTGAGTATCTACACACCTGAGTATCTACACACCTGGGTATCTACACACCTGAGTATCTACACACCTGAGTATCTACACACCTGAGTATCTACACACCTGGGTATCTACACACCTGGGTATCTACACACCTGAGTATCTTCACACCTGAGTATCTACACACCTGAGTATCTACACACCTGAGTATCTACACACATGAGTATCTACACACCTGGGTATCTACACACCTGAGTATCTACACACCTGAGTATCTACACACCTGAGTATCTACACACCTGAGTATCACACACTGGGTATCTACACACCTGAGTACACCTGAGTATCTACACACCTGAGTATCACACCTGGTATCTACACACCTGAGTATCTACACACCTGAGTATCTACACACCTGAGTATCACACACCTGAGTATACACTATCTACACCTGGGTATCTACACACCTGGGTATCTACACACCTGGGTATCTACACACCTGGGTATCTACACACCTGAGTATCATGAGTATCTACACACCTGGGTATCTACACCCTGAGTATCTACACACCTGAGTATCTACACACCTGAGTATCTACACACCTGGTATCTATTACTACACACCTGAGTATCTACACACCTGAGTATCTCCACACACACTGAGTATCTACACACCTGAGTATCTACACACACCTGAGTATCTACACACCTGAGTATCTCTGGTATCTACACACACTGGGTATCTACACACCTGAGTATCTACTGGTATTACACACCTGGGTATCTACAGTATCTGGGTACACACCTGGGTATCTACACACCTGAGTATCTACACACCTGAGTATCCTGGGTATCTGCACACCTGAGTATCTACGGACATGAGTATCTACACACCTGAGTATCTACACACACCTGGGTATCTACACACCTGAGTATTTTACACACCTGAGTATCTACACACCTGGGTATCTACATGAGTATCTACACACCTGGGTATCTACACACCTGAGTATCTACACACCTGGGTATCTCCACACCTGGGTATCTACACACCTGAGTATCTACACACGTGAGTATCTACACACCTGAGTATCTACACACCTGGGTATCTACACACCTGAGTATCTTCACTCTACACATCTGGGTATCTGCATACCTGGGTATCTAAACACCTGATTATCTACACACCTGGGTATCTTCACCTGGGTATCTCCACACACCTGAGTATACACACCTGGTATCTACACACCTGAGTATCTCGCTCACTCTAGGTATCTGCATCTGGGTATCTGAGTATCACACACCTGGGTATCTAAACACCTAGGTATTTGGGTATCTAAATGTGATGTAATTATAACATAGGGTATATGCACCCCGGTTATTTGCACACCCGATTGTGTACAGCCATGGTTATGCACAAACCCTAGCATATGTACCCACCTTTACCCCGGAGTACCTGCCTCGATGTTGCAGTTACTACATTTGACGTGGTCAACACAGACCTCTGTGTGAGAATGTGTGTGCGTGCGTGCGTGTGCGCATGTGTATGTTTGTCCGTCTGTATCCATCGCCTTTGGTACAGCCAGTTAGTTTGGTAAACGCACGCAAGATGACGATATTCATCATAACTGTTTCATACTTTATTGCAAATAAAGCGCAATAAATTGCAGTGAGTGAGTGAGGTTTAGTTTTACGCCGCTTTTAGCAATATATATCACGACAGGGGGAACAGAATGGACTTAGCACTGGAATCGAACTTGACAGCGACATAACCACTAAGGCTACCCCCCACCGCCCCAAACAGATATCAATAGAACTGATTAGCACTACTGAACAACACACATGTCTATTGTTCAACAAACATCATTAGAAACTGATTTTAGGAAACTTTCATTTTAAAACGACCTCATGACCTTTACATATCCTGTGGCGGATCACGTGACGCATAACGATTATGAATGTGGGCCAAAGTTCTGACTCACACAATACAACCAGATACATCCATTTAGAATTTATTTATATTGAATATAATTTGTTAAAGGTCATTAATAATGGCATTGTATATTACACTCCTTGTCATGAAAGTTCTATAAAAGTTCTAAGATGAAACTTTTCATATAGGTCATTATTTTTATACTGGTGGAGCAAACATTAAACTTACATTTCTATTCTTTCTCTTGTACAACACTGGTCAAGAGTAAGAATATATCGTCAGTGTGTACAACAGTCTGATAATCTGGTGCATATCTACAGATATATAGATACTGACAGACAGACAGACAGACAGACAGACAGACAGATAGATAGACAGACAGACAGACAGACAGACAGACAGACAGATAGATAGATAGATACAGAGAGACAGACAGAGAGACAGATAGATAGATACTGACAGACAGACAGACAGATAGATAGATACAGAGAGACAGACAGAGAGACAGATACATAGATACTGACAGACAGACAGACAGATAGATAGATACAGAGACAGACAGACAGAGAGACAGATAGATAGACAGACAGATAGATAGATAGATAGATACAGAGACACAGACAGACAGACAGACATATAGACAGATAGATAGATAGATACAGAGAGACAGACAGACAGACAGACAGATAGATAGATACAGACAGAACAGACAGACAGATAGATAGATAGATACAGAGAGACAGACAGACAGATAGACAGACAGATAGATAGATAGATACAGAGACACAGACAGATAGATAGACAGACAGACAGATAGATACAGAGAGACAGACAGATAGACAGACAGATAGATAGATAGATACAGAGACACAGATGGACAGACAGACAGACAGATAGATAGATAGATAGATACAGAGACACAGACAGATAGATAGATAGATAGATAGATAGATAGATAGATAGATAGATAGATAGATAGATAGATAGATAGATAGATAGATAGATAGATAGATAGGGTACTAATGATTGATTGATAATAGGGGAGGGGAGGTTTGATGTTACGTGTATTTGAAATCGGGGCGGTGGGTTAGCCTAGAGGTTAAAGCGTCCGCTCGTCACACCGAAGACCCGGGTTCCATTCCCCACATGGGTACAATGTGTAAAGCCCATTTCTGTTGTGATATTGCTGGAATATTGCTGGAATATTGCTAAAAGCGGCGTTAAGGCATACTCACTCACTCAGTATTTTAATTGGCAGGTGGGTGGCAAATTATGGTACAGTCTCTCTGCCACTTACTAGCTTCACCCCAAATAACTACCAAGTCCACACTGACCGCCTCCGTGGTGTAGTGGTTAGAGCGTCAGCCCAGAGAGCGGAAGGTCGCGGGTTCGATCCCCGACCACGTCATACCAAAAGTAAAATATGGTACTTGTTGGTCCCTGCCTGGCGCTCGGCATTAATGGGTACAACAAGGACTGGTCTGCTCTGAGTCAGTATAATGTGTCTGAGTGGGGTATTCATGCTTCACTGCGGCATGATATCTCAGTGGGCTAGCACTATAAAACTAGCTTCAGTCTGGGCTAGTACAAGCAGCCGCACATACACCTACACACGCATGCACGTCTTCATATGAGCGAAATATTCTCAAGCACGACGTTAAACCCAATTTCACCTCACCTCACCAAGTCCACACTCTAGAACAATTACTCCTTTCAAGAAATCTCATGAAGCATTTGAAACACCAAATGTATTTAAAACCTCGAGTATTAAATGTTTGGTATGTAGGTTTTGTTGACATTATCAATTACAGAAAAAAAGGTATAATATGTAATATTTTGACAAATTAGACAAATAAACTTTAATTTACATGTGCCAGCAAAACAAATATTCACGTTTCCGTTTTGGATGTAATATAACATCAAGCACCTGTTTAACACGTAACTGCTATATCGATTTCTTTTCAAAGCTGAAAAGGCTCAGCGAAGTCTATTTCCTTTCCTCCAAACCCAAATAAACACGACCTAGGCTAAGTTTCCTTATTATATTCAAGTCACGTGACAAGTTGGACGACAAAAACAAATCTAATCTAGGTGATGTGTAGCTATTTATACCCCTTTGCACAAACGATCTATTGACAAAAACCATGGCTTAACCATGGCTGCTTGAATCTAAGTCTCAACAATGTATTACTCGTTTCATTAATGCACTCATGCCGGTTTACACATTGCAGCAATAATGTGATATATTTAGTAGTGCTTTAGAATCATATGCCAGGCGGGCTGACCTCGACACATATTTTGGATGTAAACATCCCAGCTTATTAACATATCAAGAAAGGTCAAGGTCGAGGCCGACCGTCTACCAATCATGGAACTTCTTTCGAAGTGGAAGAAAAGTTAGAGCCAATCACTACCGTGTTTACAATTCATCTCATTATATTCCGTCGACACGCCTTCCGAACCACAACAGACTTGCTCGAGTGTGCTTACCGGCAAGTATATGCGGAGCGTTTGAGGAAGAAAGCGGTGTTTAATCGTTGTGACAGTTGTGAAAAGTGACATTCTTTGATTGTACGGTATAGTTTGAGGATGCCTAACCACAAACACCACCGTAATCATCGTTCGAAGGAGGGAGATACCAACAACAACATCGAGCATGTCGAAGCGAATAACAACAGTCATGGCCGCCAGCCGCGAGTCGACAATAACGGGCCTCGAATGTTCGTGTGTTGTGTCCCGTCCAACTGCCGGAATCCGGACGAGACAATTGACGAGCACGACCCAGGAACCGCTGTGAAGGTTTTGTGTAATAATGAAAATTGCCAGAACGGAACATGGATGCATAAGGAGTGTTTTGACGAATGGGAGCAGTCGGTTCTCAGCTATTTGCGATCATGTGGCCGAGCCCGAAGTTGGAGCGAGAGGCAGCGGCTGCAAAACCTGTGGACCAAGAAAGGCTACGACCTCGCTTTTAAAGCCTGTGACTGCAAATGTGGACGAGGGCATATCAGAAAGGATCTAAACTACATCCCCATGACAGTTCCAGTGGACAATGCCAAGAAACTGAAGAAACATAAGAAGAAGAATGACAAACCCATGCCTGTGGTGAGTACATCCCATAAACCGTCTCACAACTCTAACTCTCATTTGAACCACACATCTTCCAATGCCAACAACAATAACAACAACGGCAGTAGCAGCATTGGCAGCAGCAGTAGCAGCAGCGTAAGTGCTAACATCAACATCATTAACAACAACAGCAGCAGCAGCAGCAGCAGCAGCCACCATACTATAAGCTCCAGTCCTGCGCAGCGCATCCGAACAAGCAGCATCAGCAGCACTGGCAGCAGCCCCCCAAATTCTGCAACTTCCGGTTCACCATTGTCCTCATCCCCTGTAGGAGGAGGGACTTTCGTCGTCAAGGTTAATGGCAAGAAATCGGACTTCTTCGCTGATCATGCTCAAGCTGCAGCAGGAAACATCTTCAAGAAGCGTCAAGACTTTTCTGCGTTCAATATTGTCCCAAGGGTGCGACAGAACCCCTACAACATCAAGATGGAAGATGAAGGCCCCTATGGAAATGATGATGTCCGAAGTTTCGTCCTCTCGGCTCTGAGCTCCTACAAGCTAACATCCATACCATGTGTACTCTGCAAGTCCAACCTCCCAGTTTTCGACCACTACCCACTGATAGATGGAACCTTTTTCCTTTCGCCACAAGCCTATGACGAGAGAGTTGTCCAAGTTATCTGGGAGGGACGCATACAGTTCCTCAACTCCATCTGCATCTGCTGCATGGAGGGGAAAGCCGACATCAAATGCGCTTCCTGCAAGCGCAAATGGAACAGCAGCACCTACGTTCTTGGCACCATGTACACCTACGACATCTTCGCAGCGATGCCCTGCTGTCAGAAGCGCCTAACCTGCAAACACTGCCGACGCGCCGTGGTGGATGTGAAATCAGGACTGAACTTTTTCAGCCAGTACAGCCAGATGATCATCTGCCCCTATTGCAAAGCAAATGATTACCACTTCATTCGACCACTGAATGAAACGTACATCGTGAAGCAGCCTATATGTTACTGAAGCTTAGACCATGTGCTTCATTGCTAGTCTGGAGTTTCACCTCGTCATCATCTCATCTCCACAAGGTAGTAGTGTGTGCATGGTATGACGGAGCGAAGGTATGACGGATTTGTGGTATGACGAGCACACCTGTCAGCTGTTGGTGGACAGAATGTTCAATGACCAAAACATGGATGTTGCAAGGTTTGCACATTCACATATTTGGAATATCATTTGCTTTGTCCCATCGGAATGTGTAATTTCATTGGTGTGTGGCCGAAATGTTTGGGGGATAGCTTTCTGCTTGTTGCAAGTTTGTGTTTTGTGAATCAAAAGTTACTGAATGAAAGAGGGTCAGTTTTGTCAGAATGCTTGACATACTTTTGAGTTGAGCTTAACGTACATACCGTTGAGGATATGGATAATTTCTTGTTTAGAAACAGTGGAGAATATTGTTTCTTGTGTTGATCATTAACCATTATTCATGATCATTGACGGGCATGGTGTTTGCCCATATCAATTTCTTTGGTGCAACATTTAATGTGATGTGACATTGGTTATCAGTGGGACTCATTGTGTTGCGGATCCACGCCTCAATGATTAGATGATGCGACCGCATCCTCCAGTGTCGTGTACTCAATCTAATGGACCATATATTGTCAACTTGACTTGCTCGTTCCTCGAGTAGGGAAGCTTTTGAAGGCAGCTACAGTACTCATTCAGGCTATAGTCCTTAGCTTGTTTATTTATGACTTGCAGCGTAGCACAAGTATTCCTTAGCTTAGATGTTTGAAAAACAACTAATGATAGTTTTTGTTGAATATTTGGACAGATACAAAAGTATCTTGACAGCCATTTTGAATTATTCACTACATACAAATTTCCGTAGTTATCTTTGTTAAAGATTTGGAAATATTTTTCAAAATTTATCATCCTAAAGATAAGGGACGGTTAAATGGATGAATTTAACAAATTTATTAAAGTAAGATCATTTCTGAGTCTTTTCATACCATACTTGTTAATTACAAACTAGAAATTTGGAATGTTTTTCAAAAATTATTCAGTACCAGGGAAACATTTCATGAGGCAATTGGCCATGTTTTGCAGTGTTGAATTGGGTGTGGAATTAATAATTGATAATGGCTGCTCTGTTCTTATTCATATACCTGGAACTGTACTTCAGTATTTGTATAAATAGTGTATTTTTGCTTTGTGTTTCTGTAAAGAATATATACTGCTGATAGGTACATGTTTTGAAGGATAAAGACTTTTGTTTGTTAGTGGTAGGTGGAGTAAGTACTCCGTTGACTGAAGGCAAAATGGCATTTATATATTCCTAACTTGCATTGAGAAGGTGCTGAAAATGTCACGGCCAGTGCCATTTTTACTACACCAAATAAACCTCATCTTTCTTTATAGCATTGTTTTTGTGTTTTCATTGTCATATTTCTGATACATATATAATATAGGCTGATATGTATGCATGTGCTTCAGGTGACATGACTCACGAGATATTGGTCAGATAGGATGTTTTTTTTAATGTTTTTGTAGAATGTTTAGATAGGTTGTTTAGAACTGCTATTGTTCAGAGTGTTTGTCTATTTTCTAAGTTAAATTAGAAACAGTAGTATGTGGAAACATCCAGTTTCGTTTCCTATTGTAAAGTATGGTTTTCTTGACAACTGTTTTCAGCTGTAAGAGACATTTGGGTCGCGAGCTGAAAAAGTGGGGAGTCATGTTACTTTCTTTTTTGGCCTAATGTGCCAGTCTTTGGCTTCTTGGAATTACAACGCCTGTGTAGGATGAGATAAACTGTGTTTAGTGGGTTAGAACACAACTGCTGGCCTATGGAGATTGTGGGTTAGAATCCTGTACAACATGTTCCTAAGAGGTGACATATTGGATGTGTGATCGGTTTCAGTGAGGTGAGGTGAAATTGGGTTTAACATCGCGCTGGAGAATATTTCGCTCATATGACGACGTGCATGCGTGTGTATGTGTATGTGCGGCTGCTTGTACTAGCCCAGACTTAAGCTGGTTTTATAGTGCTAGCCCACTGAGGTACCATGCTGCAGTGAAGCATGAATACCCCACTCAGACACGTTATACTGACTCCGAGCCGACCAGTCCTTGTTGTACCCATTAATGCCGAGCGCCAGGCAGGGATCAACAAGTACCATATTTTAACGTCTTTTGGTATGACGTGGTCGGGGATCGAACCCGCAACCTTCCGCTCTCGGGCTGACGCTCTAACCACTACACCACGGAGGCCTACGCAATTGGGATACTGTGACATGTGTCAACCAAGTCAGCGAGCCTGACCACCCGATCTTTGACAGACTGTTCATTTTCTACCAGGTCTATAGTGGGTCACAGGTGTTTTAAAGCACTAATGTGCAGAAAATAATGAATTGTGGTCAGTTTTTTACTTTAACTCCCATGTCCTCGAACATTTTAAACAAGAAAGACAACATGCAAAAGCACTTTATATATGAATAAAAAAATGTCCACTTCTTAATGACCCTCTCTGAAAGACAAAATGCTAAAGCACTTCATATTTCATGATGGAATGTCCACTTTCTCATGACGTCCCCAATTTTTTTCATTATGACACCACCCTAGAGACTGCCATGTATTTTGGTGACTCTCTCATGACCACAGACCCTCGTGTCTTTACGAGGATTAGGGATTTAAAAAATATCCTTTTGAGATGAAACACACACACACACACACACACACACACCCTCAAAAATGCTTTGAAGTACAATCATGATGTATTGTACTGTGAAGCATTTCAAGTCGGGGGTCATCTCAAAAATTGTTTTTAAAAAATAACTTTAATCCTCCCAAAGACACAAGGGCCTGTGCCCCTGACCCCACCCAACCATATAACAAAATATTGGTCCCTCATTTCAATGAAAGTTAAATATACAGGTAGAGGTTGTGTTTTTTTATATATAGTTTACAGTACACGACACAGTCAGGTTTTCTCTCCCAGCTTCCAACAAGTTGATCCACTGAGACAGCTGTGATGAATCACTGTGGATTACATTACATAATTATATTTCTATCCCATCCCAGTGCAATATCAATTTAAATATTGCCAATATTCTTACACGGACAGAAAATTTAGACATTTGTTTTGAACTGTTATTGTTAATTCATTTGAGTGATCCCTGCAAGGTAAATTGACCAGAATTTTGCTTATTATTGTCACTGGAATTCATTATCACACACATCAAAATACCAGATCATATGTCAATGAATCATGTCTGACTTTAATTACTTAAATGCTAAGCAAAACCCACAAACTAGATCTTGAGACCTAGTTTTAAAAAAAGGTCAAGTTGTAACCATAGCAACCAATGCACAGATGCGGATGAAGTCAGTAGTGCTACCAAATGTTCATTTGACATGCTTAAGAAGAATATTAAGTGTTAGTTGTTTAACACGGTTCAGCGATATTGCAGCTATATTGTGTCTGTCTGTAAATAAGTGAATCTGGACCAGACAATCCCGTGATCAACATCATTAGCACCAATCCAGGCAATTGGGATATAACCTCTCAACCAAGTCAGCGAGCCTGCCCACCCGACCCTGTTACTCACCTCTTAAGACAAGCATGGGTTGCTGAAGACCAATTCTAACCTGGACCTTAACAGGAGAATATTAACAGTAATCTTATGGAAATAGACAATCTTGATGATAGTTTGTTTGGTGCTCCAGTGCTTCCTGAGTTTGTTTTTGGGTCAGGCAGCACCAGACCCGTGCTTGTGGGTTTCAGTTGATCACATTTAGCTTTAATTGCACATAGGCTGACATGCCATGATATAATTGGAATACTGTTACAGACATGTTAAACTGAACTCACTTGGAAGCCGGGGTGGCTGAGCGGTCTAGGTGTCTGACTGTGTGCTGGCGATTAGGTGCCTGACCCTGAGGGTGTGGGTTCGAATCCCAGATGGGACTCAACCCCAAAAGTACTAGAATCTGTACTTTACTAAGAAAGTGTAATCCCAAATATAACATATGTTACACAATAGAATTCGTTTCAAAATGGCATACCTATGTTTATACATTGTTTCAAAATGGCATACCTATGTTTATACATTGTTTCAAAATGACATACCTATGTTATACATTGTATGTTGTGTCAGTTCATGTCAAATTATTTGCTTGTTGCTCAGTGCTGCACTTGGCAATATTTCAGCTATTAGACATGTCTGTGATTAATCCACCCAATGATTGATATTATGAGCCTGTAGCAGGACGGGGAGTCATCCCATAGATGACATCCTTACTTTGTCAGCTTGCTGGAGAGGTAGCCTCTTTGGTCATGTGGATAAAGTGTTTGACTTCAGATCAGAAGGTCTGTGGGTTGAATTCCAGCACAGGTTTCAGAAATTTTATGGCTGCTACATTTGTGCCCAACATGGGCTGAGTATATTCATATTAAATCTTAGCAAAAATATATCTCAGTACCCTCCTATGCAGCTCAGGACATGCCTTCTGTTCATGGGGAGTATGTAGAAGGGCGTGGAGTCATCCCATAGATGACATCCTTACCAGGAGAAATCTGAAAACAGATTCTCAATTGATTCTCAATTTCTACAGGTATAAGATATATTTATCAAGAAGGGTAAGAGGTTAAGGCTTACTGGGGTGTTTTAAACTTTCAGGAATGAATGTTGCTATATTTCATGTTAAAAGACCTGCTGGTGCCATGCTCTTTATCGTTTTGTCATTCTTATAATAACATTTTTAGTTCGTAAATGTTATTATCCAGCATCTCTCTGAGTAAACGCTACAACACAGTGGCAGAGTTGAGTTGAGTTGAGTTGAGTTGAGTTGAGTTGAGTTGGGCTTTACGTCACATCAGCATTTTTCCAGCCATATAGTGACGAGAACGCAGTGAGGTTAGTGATGTAATTTAATTGTGATGTCATGGTAACCAATGACCTCACAGTGGTCTGCATTGTGATGCAATTTATTCTCAGCCATATTTCCTTGGGGTTATCTTTCTGTGGAAAACAGATTTGGATGATGTAGTTTATTTGTTTGTTGTTTAACGCTGCACTCAGCAATATTCCAGCTAAATGGCAGTGGTCTGTAAATAATCAATTCTAGAGTGATTGAGTTGGGTTTTACACCGCTTTTAGCAATTTTCCAGCAATGTCATGGTGGGGACACCAGAAATGAGTTTCACACACTGTGTCCAAGTGGGGAATTGAAATCGGGCCTTCAGCATGACGAGCAAACGCTTCAACCACTAGGCTAACCTACCGCCCCTTGAAGTCTAGACCAGACAGTTCGGTGATCAACAGCATGAGCTTCGATGTGCGCAGTTGGGATATGATGGCATGTGTTTCAAGCTGTCGACCAGACAATCCAGTGACTTATATCATTAGTATCAATATATGCAGGTGGGGTATGGTGACATGTGTTTCAAGCTGTCGACCAGACAATCCAGTGACTTATATCATTAGTATCAATATATGCAGGTGGGGTATGGTGGCATGCATCAGTTAAGTCCCCAACCATGTTGTAAATGGCTGGTATGTTCGATTAAAGTGTTGAACCAATCAGACATAATTCAGTGAACAGGAAATTTCAATTAAAGGATTGAATCAACACACAACAGTAACACAGAACTAAAGTATTGTGTCATTCACTCATGAGTGACCACTAAAATGAATTATAGTGTATTTATCACATGCTTGAGTGACCACTAAAATGAATGAAAGTATTTATCACATGCTTGAGTGACCACTAAAATGAATGAAACTAAATTTATCACACATGCTTGAGTGACCACTAAAATGAATGAAAGTGTATTTATCACATGCTTGAGTGACCACTAAAATGAATGAAAGTGTATTTATCACATGCTTGAGTGACCACTAAAATGAATGAAAGTAAATTTATCACACATGCTTGAGTGACCACTAAAATGAATGAAAGTCTATTTATCACATGCTTGAGTGACCACTAAAATGAATCAGTGTATTTATCACACATGCTTGAGTGACCACTAAAATGAATGAAAGTGTATTTATCACATGCTTGAGTAACCACTAAAATGAATGAAAGTACATTTATCACACATGCTTGAGTGACCACTAAAATGAATGAAAGTAAATTTATCACATGCTTGAGTGACCACTAAAATGAATCAAAGTGTATTTATCACACACATGCTTGAGTGACCACTAAAATGAATGAAAGTAAATTTATCACACACATGCTTGAGTAACCACTAAAATGAATGAAAGTAAATTTATCACACATGCTTGAGTGACCACTAAAATGAATGAAAGTAGATTTATCACATGCATGAGTGACCACTAAAATGAATCAAAGTGTATTTATCACACACATGCTTGAGTGACCACTAAAATGAATGAAAGTAAATTTATCA